ATATTTAATCAAGGAATAAGTAAAATGGTAGGTATTAATTATTGCAATAATAATAATAATAATGTTGTTAACCCAAAATGCAGATTCTGCGATAAATATCCAGAAACAATTGACCATTTTGTATCAGGTTGCACGGTATTGGTACCCACTGAATATAAAACCCGGCATGACAGAGTGGGTCAATATCTACACTGGAATATCTGCAACTTTTACAGACAGAAAACTACAAGAAATTATTATGATCATCACCCAGATCTCAGAGAGATAGGACCTGTAAAAATATCATGGGACAAACACAGATAGAACAATCAAAGCTAGTCGGCCAGGCATAGTGATCAAATACCACAAAAACAGAATGTGCTTTCTTATTCTCACGACAGTTTCTGCAGATTGTATTGTATCTTTGATGATTTTCAAAAACTATCAAAATACAAGGATCTTGAAATGGAAATCTAATGATTAGGGCACATGCGGACATCAATAATTCCAATTATAGCCCCGGGTTTGATTAGAAAAAAATCCGATAGACTCGTTGAAGGGATGCCTGGTAGCCCGTGACTTTAAGAAATACAAAAATTGTACTCAAAAATAAAGCTGAAAAACAAAAATTATATATGTATATATATATATATATATATATTTTTGTTTTTCAGCTGTATTTTTGAGTATATATATATATATATATATATATATATATATATATATATATATATATATATATATATATATAATATAAAAGAAAAACAGATATATAATCCGGTGTTCTTATAGATATTTTTATTTTTACAAAATAGTGCTCAATGTAAATTTACAGAGCATTAATTATAATATTAATTAAATTAATTGATTTAAAATATGTTTTTTCGCTACACAGCTCTAACCATGTTTCAAAAATGGAAGCTAAAAGCCCCGAATTTCGAACTAATGTCTTTAATTTAATTACAAAATTAAATTCGGGGCTTTTAGCTTCCATTTTTGAAACATGGTTTGAACTGTGTAGCGGAAAAAACATATTTTAAATCAATCATATATTTATATATATATATATATATATATATATATATATATATATATATATATATATATATATACTGGGCACCTCAGCGTGGTCTAATGGTTAGCAAGCTTCTCTCGCTCCATCAGTTACAACTGAAAAGTGAGTCCGATCCTCGCTAGATGCCCCATACTTTCGGCCTTGTGCCACATCTAAGCTATATATATATATATATATATATATATATATATATATATAATATAAATCAAAGGAAATAATCATAATAATAGGGAAATCCAAACACGTTGACTAGGCATAATTATGAATAATCATGTTGAAAACACCTGTCTTATGGTAGATGTTGCGTCGTCACCTGATAAAAACACATTTTTTAAATCGTTAGAGAAACTAACCGTTTTAATATTGATCCAACCGTAAGTTCTATTCTAATAGTTTCTCTTCTCATATTTCTCACCTGTAGAAGTCCCTTCTGATTTCTTGTTTCCCTGCTGTCTACAATCTTCCAAAAATCAAATGCAACGTAAATCGCCATCTTCTGTCTTCCTGAACCCCCGTTCCATTACTGTCCTTTCATCACTTCTCGCTAAAGTCTTCTCATTCCCTTTCATTCCTTGTAACCCTCGGCGTCTTAGTGGCGTTATCTTCTTGCTTGGGATGAAATGATTAAAAAACAGTAAATACAAAGCTATCGAGATAGAAGTCCTTACAATGTGATACATCAAAACAATAAAATTGCCTGTTGTTAGTGGGGTTTTTTGCGGAGGGGTGTAATGGTATCAAAAAGTTGCAAAGAAATATGTGGATCAAATCCCTGGTAGCCCTAAAAACTAAATACCGTATATACGTGTGTAACGTGCGATCTCGCGTATCGCGCGACCCCCAAATTTTCACTGATAAAAATGATTTTATCATGTATCTCATGTATCATGCAGGTTCCTTATTTAAGAGACCAAATTACAATAGACTAACCTCTTTCCCTCTGTCTCTTTATCCCATCTTCTAGTTAAATATCTCCACAATGACTTTTTTTTCTCTCTGGCTGCATCTGTTTACAGATTCTGATAAAAAATAAATAAATAAACTTTTTTTTCGCTTGGTTAACACTTGGGGACAAATCTTGCTACAAAATGTAAAGCCAAACCTTAATAATAATAATAATAATAATAATAATAATAATAATAATAATAATAATAATTAAACACAGACAATCAAAACAAGTCACCCAAACATCGTGATCAAAGACCATAAGAACAGAATGTGCTTTCTTAATGTCATGACAGTCCATGCAGATTTTAATGTATCTTTGAAGATCTTCAAAAAAACTATCAAAATACAAAGACCTTGAAATCGAAATTTCAAAGATGTGGCACGTGAGGTCATCAACAATTTCAATTTTAGTTGGAGCCCTCGGTTTGATTGAAAAAAGGTTCCGATAGACTCATTGAAAGGATTCCTGGTACCCCATGCCTTAAAGAAAAATCTTACTCACAAGTACAGCCCACGCCTTATGAAGGTCTTTATCTATGAAAAACAAATAAGAGGGAGTTCCACTGTCGGGAAGTGTGAGAGAAGAAACTGTTGGCGTAGAACAGGCGGTGACATTTAACTATTTCAACAGTGAAAGGGTTGGGCCGATATACCAACCTAGTAGCACGCTAAAATTCATATCGTCAGAGGAGTTGCCATGAAAATATTTGGAAGAAAGATAGAGGGAAGCCACATCACGTCTGTGAAAAAGTGACTGCGGACGAGATGCCAGATCTGGACCTATCACATTGCATATCGTTGGATTTTGCCGACGACCTCGAGATGAACTGTGGGAGCACCACATCATATACGGCAACAATATTCAATGGAAGGGCGAATGGTAATTTTATAGATTTGAAGGTTGTCTCAGACGATAATAATCCCCTGGCGCGACACAGAAAACCAATTTTTCTTTGCAACTTTTTGATACCAAAGTTCTATGCTAACAGTTTCTTCTCTCGCAATTCGTACTTGTGGAACCCTTTTCCGGTTCCATGCTTTCCAGCCAGCCTTTATCTGCCAAAATTTCTATGTATTGTCAATTGCTATATACTGTTCTCCTGATTACTTTCTCCCTGTCCTCGCTCCATAGCAATTGTTCCTGTTTCTAACTCTTCCACACCCAGTAACCCCTTGCGTCTTAATAACTTTGCTGTCTTGCTTGGGGTGAACTTAAAAAAGAAAAACTGAATTTGAGTTCGATATGTCAGTCATCTCAACCCGATAATCTCATAAGTTTAGCATTCGTATAAAAGAGTATATAACAATAAATAAAAAAAGACATAGCGAAGTGACCATGCATACTAATCAAAGACTACAAAAATGTCAGATATAGATCTCTTATCAAATAATATATACCGTCTGTGCCTTCGAATATGGCGCCTTTTTTTATTTTTAAATGTAACAACAACAAAAAAAAACATCCCAATGCTTGATACAACGGTACTTCGACTAAAAGACAATCGAGTGTTGTGCCTATAAGCTAGGATCTCGGATAAGCCTGAGTTCACTAGGCATAAAAATTGGTACTAGCAATAAAGTAATAAAAACAAGTCATATTATTGTGCTCCTACTAATAAAATATGTATGGTAGTCTGTAGTATTTGCTGAAATTACCAGTTTCTGTTAGTTTTTTCCCTGATATTTGTTGCATACTACTCGTAATATTCAGTGAAATATTTTGCTTTGTCTACATATACTGTAATTATCTCTAAGAATTCATTCACATTCATTGTATTTTGCTGATTGCTTTGCCTGTATCTACTCTATCAATATGAATTCATTCATATTTATTGTACTTTACTGATTACTTTGTCTGCTGTACTTATTCATAAGGATTCATTCAGATTTATTGTACTTTACTGATTGCTTTATATCAGTTTGCTCTCTTTATATTCACCGGTACTCATTGGTACAAATGTACCAGTATTTCTTTTCTGCTTTGGCAAATTGAATTTAGTTTCCTTTGAAGGTTAATATTACAATATAGGATTTCATGCTTTATTCAAGTCTACTCTTACGATATTGTATTTTACATGAGAGAATTAATAGATTTTCTCTTACAAAACCACTTTAAAATATATTTCAATAAATATATGATGAAATAGGTAAAATTAATTTTCCACAAAATATCTTCGTAAAATATGGTAAGGGTGAGCTTTACGTGAAGGCAATTACGGTAAAACTGTTGAAGAAAATAAAAAAACATAAGTAAATATAAGCATCTTTAAATTGAAATTGAATAAAAGTAAACAAGTGGTTCTGAGTTCAATTCCTTGATCGGGTGGAGAAAACCGGTTTTAGAGGAAAATACATTGATATGAATTACTCCAAACCACAACAAAGGCAATAAAGCCACTAAGACATAAGGGATTACCGAGTGAAATAAACTCTGTTAAAGAGAGAGAACAATAAATGAACCGGAATTAAGAAAATAACGGTTGGCATTGCATTTAAATTTTTGACGATCAAAGTTGACTGGAATGCAAGTTCCCAGAAGAGAGAACTGCGAGTGAAAAAACTGTTAGCATAGAAATTACGAGTTAAATATAGGCATTGCAGCTGTAAAAGGATGAGACCTAACTGCCAACCTAGTACAGTGCTAGAATTCGTAAAGTCAAGATACCGAAGAGGAAAGTTCCTCAGAACAATTACCATGAAATATATTTATTTAGAGAAGCTAGATTATGACGGTAAGAAAGTAACTGAAGCCGAGATGCCAGATCAGGACCGGTAACATTTCAGATTCATCTCTGGATTTTAGCAAGAAGCTCTAAATTCATATGTATAATGATAATTAAAATAGATTAATAGATTAACGATAACAGCGACAATAAATACAACAACAACGATAATATTAATGATAATAATAATGATGATAACATTAATAATAATAATAATAATAATAATAATACATTAAAACTACAAGCTAAAATTACCGTCCTATAGCTATTGTCGCTTGCGTCTATATCACCTTCAAACACCAGTTCTCGTACGATGACCGAAGTTAAACAACGTCGAGGCTGGTCAGTACCTACATGGGTGACCACTTGGTAATACCATGTTCTATTTGCTTGGATGTGCGAATGATATAACTGATAATGGCTCGATAATAAACATGGATATTTTTTTTTATTGTCCCCTATCCTTAATAATATTTTTTTCTTATATTCTCTCACACGTAGTAATCCCTTGCATCTTAGTAGCTTTATTGCCTTACTTAGGATGAAATAATTAAAGAAAAAACAATTGGAAATCGGAGAGCCGAGTTCCAATTCCAGTCAGGTTCGTTATATTCCTTTACGCGCAAATAACATTGGGAAAGATAAACTTTCCCCTTTTTTCCCTTCAGGTATGTGTTAATTAGTAGGGCTTACATCAGTAAATCCTTATTATCTCCAAAAACTTCTTACAGTCTGGAAATATTTTCTGGCTTTAAAAGGTCGGTAAACCGTAAAAAAAAAAATCAATATAGATATGGTATTGCCATCTGCTAAAATATTTACTAAAGTATGACAAAAATATATAAAACTACGGATTTTGAAATTGACCCCCCCCCAAAAAAAAATACTGTGTACCTTAAAACTACAACAGGTTGAGAATCCTTTATACGAAATTCTTAGGACCGTAAGTGCTTCGGTTTTCAGATTTTTTTCGGATTTTGGAATACAGGCTATTTAATTTGCATATAGCGTCTATAAAATGGGACAGCTTGGTAATGAAACCCAAGCATAAACCCGACATCCCTTTATAATTCATAACGCAGTTTTATATAAATAAAATATACCCTGAAAGTAGTTTGATATAAAATTTAATAAATTTTGTGTACTTACAGATACAAGTAATGATGCTAGTCATGTAATACTCACACAGATTTTTAAATGGCGAAATTAAGATAAAGATTGGACGCGTACAACAGGATCACTACATACACAAAATATATGAATACAACACCAAACACTAATTTTCCATCAGGTGTGAGAAACTGGAGGGCGAGGGAACACCTGTGTGTGAGAGAAGGAAAATTTGGCAAGCTATCAGTCTTTAGCAACGATGTTGTGTTTTGATTAAAATGTTACATTAAATACAGGTACAGAATTTGTATAAAAACAAAATATAGATTCTGATTACAGTTAAATGTAATGATAACTAAAAAAAGCCAGCATTTTATTTGCAAATCTACAGCGCAATAATTATGTGACAGGTAGACATGTTGCATTCTGAAATTTTCCATTTGTGACAAGTCATGAAACACTTTCCGATTTTGGAGGTTTTCGCATTTTGGAATTTCGAATAAAGGATACTCAAACTATATTTTTTAAACAGTAGGATTCACTCTGTACAAGACCCGGGGTCACTCGAGGTAGAGGATTATGTTAAGGTGTAGTTTATATGTATAAGAGAAGAAACACAACGGTTAACACTAGACTTGAACAGATTAAGATTATAGTGATCGGGGGAGCATCCTCTTGGGAGTCTGTTCCACAAGGCAGTGGTTCGCAGGAAGAAGCCGTTCGAGTGGAACTTACTTCTCACCGATAGAATATGGAGGGAATGCGTGTAGTCTGCTACTATGTAAGTGGTATGGTAGGTCCTAGCCACGAAGGTTAGACCTGGAGAAACCAAAGAATGTGGTTCGTCTGAGCACTTTCCATGGAAGTAGCGACAGAGAAGCGAGAGACTCGCCTGTGAGAGAGAGAGGTTGAAGGGTGGAAAATAATTCTTCTCTAACAAGGACTCAGAGACGCTTTTGAACTCAATCAAGACTGGAAAGTGAGGACTGGGCAACTCCCGACCAAATGTGACAACAATATTCTATTTTAGGCCTGTGCTGGCTCTTATAAAGTTAAAGGATAGAATGAGGAGGCAGGTACTTACTGGAGAGGTACAGGGAGCCGATCAGTTTACCTTCATCTTTAACATTGGGTTGAATATAACAGTTCCACTTGATTAACAATATCCGTGTTTTTCTCAGTGGAACTCCTGCCTAATTCTTCTTCATATGCCGTATCTCCTCAGGACATAGGAGATCATGGCTCTATGTAAAATCAGAATTATTGCGAACAGAATATTTACTAGCTTGGCAAGGCGCGGGTCTGGGGTAATGATTCGGTAAAGTAGTTTTAAAAATAAAATAAAAAAATAATAATAATAATAATAATAATGTACACCCAGACCCGGTTACGGAGATAGGACCTATTACAATTCTATGGGACTATACAATACACACTGACAGAACAATCAAAGCCAACCGCCCAGATATTGTTATTAAAGACCACAAACAAAAATCCTTATTGGTATGGCAGTCCCTGCTGACTCCAATGTATCTTTGAAGATATTCCAAAAACTGTCAAAATACAAGGGTACCTTGAAATAGATATCTCAAAAATGTGGCATATGAGAACATCAACAATCCCTGTTGTAGTTGGAGCCCTAGGATTAGTTGGAAAAGATTCCAGTAGACTAATTGAAGGGATTCCTGGAAGTCCATGCCTCAAAGAGATATGAAAAATTGTTCTGACAAGTACAGACCACACATTACGAAGAGCTTTATCCATGTATTTCTTTTTATTTTATTTTATTTTATTTTATTTTTATTTTTTTTTGTCAGTGTAAAGTGTCATAATGCCATTTCTAACCTTAGGTCCCTGGGGGCGGGACCCGGAAAGAAATGTGTAAACGTCAGAAATCAAAGAAAATCAAAATAATAATAATAACAACAGCAGAAACCCAAAATGCAGATTGGCATTGTGTGCTTATGTTCTGGAGAGTGTTACCAAATGTAAAGAAAATTTAAACAATGTACAGCTGAAGGAATATAACAATTAAATTGAGAGGTCGTGAAATTGAGAAAAATGTTGCATCTTAAAAGTATTGTTATACCTACAATCAATTGAGACTTGGTTACGATTAAAAGAATATACTGATGAAAACATTAAGAAAATCTCCGTCTGCCGCGGTTTACAAGTGATTAAAATGTCTTGTGTTGAATTGCTCAGGCGACGATATAAAGAAAATATAAACACTGTACAGGTCAATTATCAAGGCATTTGACTTGGTAAAGATCCTCAGAGGACGAAACGCGCCGGTTAAGTTTAGTTTTCCTTCATTAAGTATCACTTAATATTCAGACTTTGTGTCAACAGAATGCATATATTTACTACCATGGGTTACCAAAGGATTCAGGAAGGGATTAATCAAAATACAAGGACCTTTAAATCGATATCTTAAAAATGTGGCACATGAGGAAATCAATAATTCCAGTTGTAGTTGGAGCCCTCAGACTGATTATCAAAGTCTCCGATAGACTCAATGAAGAGATTCCTGGTAGAACAAGCCTTAAAGGAATACAAAAAATTGTACTCACAAGTACAGCTGAAACCGTACGAAGTGCTTTATTAATATAAAATGTGTGTGATCTTAGGTTTTGGGGAGGGGGGGTCCCCTCAAAAATGCACAATGGAAAATGTCATGACGCCATCTCTGAACTAAGTTCTCTGGCTGGGTCCCGGAAAGAAATGAATACACACCAGAAATCAAAGGAACTATAACACGGACAATACTCTACCCGCACCAAACAAGCTTATGTAAACACACACCGTACCCATCAGTGGCTACGTAGTTTAGGGTTAAAAGCTGAAACTTAAGTTTTTATTCTTGATGCACAGGACCAATGCTTGCTAACTAGAAATTACCAAGCACATATACTGAAAAATTGTGTTAGCCCAAAATGCAGAATATGTAATAAATATCCAGAAACAATTGACCATTTTGTATCAGGTTGCACGGTATTAGAACTACTGAATATAAAATCTAGGCCGACAGAGTGGACCAATATCTGCACTGGAAAATCTGCAACTTTTACGGAAAGGAAACGGCAAGAAATTGGTATGAACACAACCCAAACTCCGTTACAGAGCTGTAAGTAATTTATTGGACTTCACAATATACACAGATAGAATAATGAAAGCTAATTGCCAAGACATCGTGATTAAAGATCGCAAAGACAAAAAGTGCCTCCTTATTGGTATGGAAGTGACTGCAGACTGCAATGTTTCTTTAAAGATATTTAAAAAAAACAACTATCAAAATACAAAGATCTTGAAATCGAAATCTCAAAAATATAGCACATGAGGACATTAACAATTCTAGTTGTAGCTGGAGCCTTCGGATTAATTGGAAAAGATTCCAATAGACTCATTGAATGAATCCCTGGTAGCCTTAAAGAAATACAAAAAATTGTACTCCTAAGTACAGCTCACACCTTATGAAGGGTTTTAATGTAAAAAATATGCGATTTTTTTTTCAAAATTACTCAGTGGAAAATGTCATGATATTATTTCTGACCTTTGGTCTCTGGTCGGGACCCGGAAAGAAATGAGTATACACCAGAAATCAAAGGAAATAAAAACAATAATAATAATATTTATAAGAAGATCGCGATTTAAGAAAAGAAAAAAAAAACACTGTGTATTTTCTTTTCTTTTCTTTTTCTTTTATTAAAGTGCACCCTTCTCTTAAGTGTTTAAAAATATTTGAAGAGCCACGTCAATCATTTTATTTAATAATAATAATAATAATAATAATAATAATAATAATAATAATAATAATAATAATCGTCACGATAGAGTGAGGCAATATTTACACTGGAGAATGTGCAAACACTTTGGAAAACGATGCTAATAAACACTCGTATGAACACAACCCAGCACCGGTTACTGAAATAGAAGACATCACAATTCTATGGGATCACACCAGCTTTACGGACAGGAAGATAGAAGCAAATAAGCCGGACATAATTATCAAAAACCGAAAAGAAAAAAAAAGCTTGCCTACTAATTGATATGGCTTGCCTGGCGGACTATAACATAGCAACCAAGGAATTTGAAAAACTATCGAAGTATAAAGACCTGGAAATCGAAATAGGAAAAATGTGGAAATTGAAAACAAGAATAGTACCTATCATAGTAGGTGTGCTTGGAATTATAAAAAAAAAAAAGGAACACAACAACACATTAAAAAAATCTCTGGCATTCCCAACTTAAGAGTAATACAAAAAAATTGT